AACTGAAAAAGAGGCTCAAAAATAGTGGGAGTTCCTAAAAACGGATAGGGTGGGAAAGAAAAAAAGGAACAGTTCCAAATAATTTCTAAAGGAGATGTGGTTACACAAAAAGTTTAGTGATCATGCGAACATCAAAAAGGACATTAAAACAATCAAGTAAAGGAGGATCAGATCAAATAACAAAGAGATCAAACCATCTGTGAGATAAAGTAAATGAACTCAGACCAAACTGGGATTAACAAAAGATGTTAAAAATAACAAAGAGGCTTTCCTAAGCAAGGTCAAAGTAAAAAAAAAAGAATATTAGCATCTACTTATGGCAAAAACTAACAAAAATTATCTGATAAATAGAAAAGTCCTATTCAACTCTAATTTTGGCCTACTCATTTCTAAAAACAATATGACTGAAGTACTGTAGCTGTATTCCAGCTTGACTTTGAGCTGACATTGATATACTCCAAACTTAAATTAATTCAGACCCAAATCTTGTATCCTAGACAAGGATGTTGTCTAGGATGTAGCCAAACATGAATCCGTCATCTAACACTTTGGAAGAATAGGTGAAGTGCCCAATAAACTGATAGAAGGCAACCATTGTTATATTTTAAGAAAAATGAAAATACAAGACCCAGAAAACTAAAAACTAATCAATCTGTCATTGATACTGGGAAAAATTCTTGAGGAGATCATAGTGATTAACCATAAAAGTAAAATAGAATTTATTAGAAATCATAATGGTTTTGTCAAAACAGCTGTTTTCAGATTAAATTTACTGGTGGTTTCTTTTTTAATACTTTGCTAATCTACTAAAGGGGTCGTTTTTCTCACAGGCATTAGGGTTAGGTTGTTAGCTGAACCTGATAGAGGAGAGTTTGTGAATGAAAATAGTGTATAAGATGCCTTGGTTTTTATATTTTGTATTTATTATGCTCGTGCTTGTACTTATGTTGTTTTTATTGTTCTGTGTTATGAATATCAAATTATTTGCTTAAGATGAATGGCAAAATAAATTTCATAAATACATAATATAAGGGGTTCTCTCAATAAATTAAAGTTTAAAAGCCATCCAAATGAGTTCCACTCTAATATACTTCTAGAAGAATATAATGTTGGAGCTAATCTAGTATCTCATGGGAGACCACTCCTAAAAAATAAGAGTGATGTCCTAAAAGGGCAAATACAATTTTTGGATGAATCACCAGAAATATAGTTACTATATCATAAGAAGTAATAGTTCCATTGTCTCACCTGTAATATTGCATTTCAGGTCATCATATTTTAACAAAGATTCAGAGAAACTGCAAATGACATAGCAAATGACTGTATAGATAATCAGGGGCCTCAAACCTAAATCTTTTGAGGAAAACTTATTATTTTTAATAGAAATGAGAAAGTAGAAAATGTGCTAATACTTTTCAAGTACCTAAAGAAATGTCATACAGAAAAAGGCCAGGGCCTTTTGTCTATTGCCACAGAAGGTAGGCACCAAATAATGGTCTTACAGTCAAAAAGCAAAATTTTGGTTCCTAATGGGAGACCATTTTGACAATGAAGCAGATACTTTGCTGAAAGTGTTCTGCAGAGGTTAAACAATAGCCATCCATTTAGAGATAATTTACATTGGCTTTCTGTGCCAAGCAAATTGAATTCAATAGTCTAGATGGCTTTCCGATGCTATGACTCTGTGACCTAGAATACTTCCCATTACAGAATTATGTGCACCTAGAAAGCACCTATAAAAACTGCACTCTAATAGAAATTACTATTTCATTTTGTAGTCTGAATTATCCCCACAGCATGGCTCCTAGGATGGGTGGAAAAATAAAACATCATCTACTGTGTTGACATTTCTATTTCTTTCCATGTTCCATTATCTCAACATTCTGCAATAGAAATTGCATACCTGCAATTACAACTAATTGATCTGCCATTTCCGATGTCATAATTAATGTCATGTTTTAATAGAGTTATAATCATTCCATAATAATGGTTTTCATTCAGCAGATTTCCAAAATGGGTAAGAATATGGAGCTCAAAAGCAATAAGCAGTGTTGAGGCTCTTTCAAAATCTCCCAGAAGGAACATCTTACTATAATGATCTTGCAAGAGAGGTTTTTTAAAAAAATTTTTTTATCTAGATAGCAAAATAATATTATGCAAGCTCCTTTTCAGTGTGACATCCCTAAACATCCATAAACATAATAAAATCAATGATTCAATGGCAAAATGCATTATGCTTCCAAAAGGGTTATTTAAAGTACTCTTAGAGCAAAGATAAGGGAAAGGGTGACTTCTGCAGAACAAAGCAAAGCACCATCAAACCATTGACTGTATTTTATGTTGGTACAGATGTGCCAACTTAAATGCAGGAATTTAGAGCCATAAAAAGTACTCTAAGGCCATAAATCAATTCTTCATGACTACTGGTTGTCCTGCTAGATCATTTTAAACTAATATTTTCTCCTGCAGAAGCAGAGGCCAATTCCTGAAATTAAAAGAATGCATAAGAATAAGAAACAAAACTTAATTGATATTACATTTACCAAATTTATAAACATGAAAAGCATTCTTGCTCCCCACAAATGTACGGGCAATAAGACACAATGACTTCCTTCACAACTCATTAGTCAGAGTAGAAAGTTAACATAACCAAAATTTTAGCTACCCCATGATTTTCTAACATCAATTCATTCTGAATCAGGTCATGGTCAGAAAGAGGATAATTGACTGAGAATATGTATCAAATATTCAACCTTCTATTCCAGATAATTTTGCAGTGTGCATATGGACAAAGAACAGTGGAAATCCAGATTTTACTATGAAGGCTCATGTTCTAAGTGTTGAAAGGGTTGGGGCATTGGTCTTACCTGATACACTCCTTCTCACGGTGCTGAGAGAGAATCCAAGGAATGGGTTAACTCTGCTCTTCTGCTCGGAGACTGAGTCAATCAATATTTTGGTCATGCCTCCTTTGCCTGCGCATGCTCAGTTTTGATGAAGGTGTAGCAATTGACTTGACATATTTCCAGTGCTAATTCTGGCCACTCCTGAACTTTGGACCAGACAGTCATCAGGGTAGGGGTTGGGTTCTCTCTCAGCATAGCGAGAAGGAGCTTATAAGTTAAGACCAACGCCCCTTCTGCAGTGTGCTGAGTCAAGAATCTGAGGAATGGGACATACCAAAGCCGGCTGTCCTAAGGGTGGGTATCAGTCTGGTCCTGAATCCCCAAGTCTATATGCACCTTCTGAAGCACCCGCCTGCCGAAGGCCGCTTCAGCTGAAGCGAAGGCGTCCAGTTTGTAGTGTCTTATGAATGGGTATGGAGAAGACCATGTCACTGACCTACAGATGTCCTTGATAGAGGCCTGTGTCGCCCACGCAGCCATTGTGGCTGCGCTTCTGATGGAATGGGCTGTCACTCGCCTAGGCAACGGGAGAGCCTGAAGCTCACAGGCTTTGGCGATGCATGCCCATATCCATCGGTCTATGGTTGATGGTGTAATCTTGTTACCCAGTATAGAGGGCTGGAAAGATACAAACAGGGATTCTGTCCTTCTAAGAGAGGCTGTCCTCTTGATGTAGGTGCAGAGGGTCCTCCTAACATCCAAGGTGTGCCATTTCTTCCCTAGGGCGTGGGTTGAGCCCAGGTAGAAGTCTGGCAAGATTATCTCCTGTGCCCTGTGGAACAAGGAATTCACCATGGGGAAGAAGGAGGGATCCAACCACAGAACCACCTTGTTTGGATAGAATATGCAAAGGTCCTCTCTTATAGAGAGGGCTGCCAGTTCAGATATTCATCTGGCCGAAGTGATGGCCACGAGGAAGGCCACCTTGAAAGTGAGGAAGCACAGGCTGGCTGATCATAACAGCTGGAACAGCGCTAAGGTGAGAGCTTGTAGTACTTTAGGCAGGTCCCAGGTGGGGTACCTGTGTACCACAGGAGGTTTTAGGTTAGTTGGACCTCTGATGAAACTGCACACAATTGGGTGTTGAGTGAGGGACTCCAGATCCCCCCAGGATAACACTGAGGCCAGAGCTGCTACTTGCTTGCGTATGGTATTAGGGGACAGGCCTTGTCCAGCCCCTCCTGAAGGAATTCCAGGATCTGGGCCACTGATACAGAGGTGGGATCAGTGTGATCCTTGGAGCATTACGCACAAAAGGCCCTCCAAATTGAGTCACAGATTTTGTTGGTCAAAGGCCTCCTGGATAGTCTGTATGACTTTGTTGGAGAAATTGATCTGCTTCAGAACTCTCCGTTCAAAGGCCAGATGGTCAGTTGCAGCCATTGTGGTTCTGGATGAACTAGGGCCCCCTGACTGAGGGAGATTCTGTCCTGAGGGATCCTTCAGGGCCTGGATACTGACAGACTGAACAGATCTGTGTACCTTGGGCGTGTGGGCCCGTGGGGAGCTAGAAGCAGGATCTCTGTCTTCTCCACCAGTACCTTCTTGATTACCCCTGGAATGAGGAGGAAAGGCATATATTAGCCCTCAAGGCCACAGACTGCGGAGTGCATTGGCCCCTTCTGCTCCCGATGTTGCAAACCTGATGTAAAACCTAGGCAGCTGGATGTTTGAAGGGGAGGTGAACAGATCCAGGCTCAGGGGTCCGAATCTTTCTGACAGTTCTTTAAATAAATCTGGGTGTAGGCGCCACTCTGAGTAGCCAACCAGTAAACCAGTCCGCCTATACATTCGATGTTCCTGAAATGTGTTCTGCTCTGATGGATAGAAGATGTCTCTCTGCCCAGAGGCCCAATTGTTCTGCCTCTCACATGAGGGATCTGGTGTCCCCTTGGCAGCTGATATGGGCCTTGGTGGCCACATTGTCCGTCAGAATGAGTACATTGTCCGTCAGAATGAGTACATTGTCCATCATGTTCTGGAACCATCTGAGGGCCAACTGCATTGCCTTGAGTTCCAGCCAGTTGATGTTGTTCCTCAGGTCTGCCTGAGACTACTGCCCTTGTGCCATCTGGGACTGGAAGTAGGCACCCCAGTCAAAAAGGCTGGCATCTGTTGTGATGGTCAGGCAGCTGGGCTCCTTGAAACCACATCTCTTGGTTATGGCCTGGAACATGCACCACTTAAAGGACTGAAATACATTTGGTGGGACCTGAACCCTGGAATTTGAGTTGCTCCTGCCAGAAAGCTCCATCTCTTTTTGGTTCTCATCTCCTGAGAGCAAAATCCTGCTCTGCATGGAGGAAGAGGGTGAGTGAGACCCTTGGAAAGTCACCAAATCTCTTTGATGCTGGGATGCCAGATATTGGTCTTGATGTAGGAGAGTTTCAGATGCCACAGGAGCAGTCTGACGTCCCTGCTGTAGGCCTGCAGCATGCCCTGTGCCATGACCTCTGATATCAGAATTTTCATCTGATCAGGCTGCTGACTCTCCCGTGGGTGGAATCCCATCACCATGGGTGTAAAGGTGGCCTCTGGTGCAGCCTTCATCCTCTTTGGAGGTGGCTCCCATTGCCTTTCTGCTGGCAACAAATTTGATTGTGGATCAACAAAAGCCTCCTTGCCTTCTGATGGAAAGGATGGCTGAAAAGATTGCTCTCTGGTGCCATCTGGCAACCCAACCTGTGAGCACAATGGAATCTGTTGCTTTGCATCGATTGGATGACTTAACTACTGGGCTGGTACAGCAGGGAATTTTCAACGATTTCCTCCCTAGGGGGACTTTCTCCCTTCCTTCACTCCACTTCCCTCTCAGCCTTGGCAATTCTTTTGTCAAGTGCCTTCAGATGCCTCCGGCATCCTTCTCCTCAGCTTTTGAAGTTCTTTGGGAGGAAAGGTCTTTTGCCTTTAATCTGGCCGCTGCTTCTTTACTGGCTGATTTTGGCCCTGCGGAGCATTTTGGATGACTCTTGTGTCTGGACCGGTAACTACTGGTCTTCCCACTCATCCCTGGCATTCCTAGGGTGACAGAATCTGCCGTTTTAGTTTTCTGCCCTCCTAGACAAGGCAGGCTTGTTCCTATGTGCGACCTTGCTGCCATGGCTGTTCCCACCTAGCCGCTTCAGAGTATGCACCAGGATTTAACCAGGCAGTGACTCCAGTCCCCTCCATTGTCTATGGGCCCAATTATCTTGGCTCTATCCTGGAGATGGAATGAAGGCGACTATGCCAGAAGGACCAGGGAGCCAGCCAGGACGAAGGTGGCTATGCCAGATGGACCAGGAAAGCCAATCGGGATGAAGGCTGCTATGCCGGGCAGACTGGGGAGCCAGCCAATGGTTGGGAAGAGGCGGCTATGCCGGACAGACTGGGAGAGCCAGGCTAACCATTTGCTGTCTTGGGAAGGCTTAAGCGGAGCTGGGACCTTACTGTGAAATTTCCAGAATCCAAGGAAGAACTCTGTCTCCTGTTCTAAGAGCACTCTTCTACATGTCTCCTCTGAGCAAAGACTGAGTCAAAAACTGGGCATGCGGAAGCAAAGGAGGCAAGACCAAAAGATTGATTGACTTAGTCTCTGAGCAGAAAAGCAGAGTTAACCCATTCCTTGGATTCTCGACTCAGCACACTGGAGAATATCTCTTCTGGATAAAAAAAAATATGTAAAGGGATCAGTAGCTAGTAGAACAATATATTAGCAATCCTGCTGTAATGATGAAATGGAAGACAGATAACTCAATTCACTTCCTTGATATTCTTGTAGGAAAGGCAAGATAAGTAGAGTAAGACTTTGATTTTAATACACTGTAATCTAGGAGAGCAGTGGGATAAAAGAACTGTTTTATGCTTTGTAGGACTAGTTCAGAAGTCAATACTATTTTATCAACAATCAACTCAAGAGTCAACAATTATGCTTAGGCAAAACATAAACTAATACTTCCCAAATCACCATGGGAAATAGAAGTTCATATATTATTTTACCAAATCTTTCAGAATGATGAGGAAGGGGCAAGATAAATCAGCTTCAGTTCAGACTATAAGCACGAGAAATGGTAACCCCTCAGGCTAAACTATAAGAAAAAGAACCTTGTTACCATATCAGCCCAAGTAAGCATATTTGAGGGGATTAATAGGGGGTTCCTAGAACTGTGCCTTTCTCCTTTCCTTGAATCAATGATAATAAATGTTTTCAAAAAGCTGGACACATTTTTGAAATCTTTTTCTCTCTGAGAAGAATAATAATCCTACTAAATGCCAAAGGACATGATTAACAGGAATCAATAGAACCTCCACTACTACTTACTCAGCAATTCTTACGTGACTAACAACATGATAATCTCTTCAGTAAAGAAACAGGACTCCAGAAAGAACAACTCTTCCAATGTCTGAAGATTGGGGTAAATATCTTACAACTACATCTAGTCTCACCATATTCAGGACCCAGGTATCCATCATGGTTGCTTCCCATTGATTGATGAATAGGCTTAAGCACCGGCCAATGGGAGGTTGGACCTGTTGTCACTTGGAACTGTGAAAGGGTGACTTTCTTACCTTGGAAGGGTTGTCTATTTCTGTCCCTGAACCCGGATCTGTCTGGTTGTCAGTCTTGTCTGTGGGCATACACCCTCTGAGGTTGAGGGGTGTCAAACCCCATGTCTCTGGGCCGAAAGGAAAGGGACAGCAGTCAGCTGGTCTACATAGAGAAGGCAGGACCTTTCTCCTGTCCTTAGTCTCCACCAGAATGGGCTCTAGGGCCTCTCCAAACAGTTTGCTACCCTCAAAGGGAGCAGAGGCTTGTTTTCACTTTATACTTCATTTCTGTCTGCCAATGGCGAAGCCACAATAGATGACGGGCCGCCACTGAAGAGTTAATGGCCCTGGAAGCAAATTTGATGGCATTCAAGGTGGCATCAGTTGAAAATTCCATAGCCACTACCAGCTTGTTAATGTCAGGTGGAAGCGGAAGTCACTAGGCAGAACCCTTGCTTGCATCTGGCAGAACCAGAGCAATGAGGCCGTCTTGAAGATTGAGGCAGCTGTAGTTGCTTTGACTACCCAGGCAGCCTCCTGATGTACCTTGCGGAGGATCAGTTCTGTCTTCCTATCTTTTGTCTTCAGAGCATCCTCTTGTGTTGTTAGAGAGGATGGTGGAGAATGTTAAGGCCACCACAGGGCCATCTATAGTTAGTGGTTGCAGTGTCCCGGAGAAATTTGTGGCCACATTATAAAATCTTTTGTCTGTCCTGCTTGGGCTGGTTGGGCCCATTGTCTTTGGATCATGTCCCAGAATAATTTAGGTGAGGGGATTTCCTCACCCTTCGTGGTTAGCTCTAAAAAGAGCATCTCACTCGGATCTACTAGGTCCAATGCTGACTCAGTTGTAGCTGGGTCAGCTCCCAAGTGCATTTGGCTTTGGCCTTCTTTAATAAAGATTTGGGGTTGGGTGAAAGAGCCCTGCGTAGAGCCAGGGGGTCTGGAGCCATCCCTTCATCCTCAGAAAGCTCCATCTCTTTTTGGTCCTCATCTCCTGAGAGCAAAATCCCGCTCTGCATGGAGGAAGGGGGTGAGTGAGACCCTTGGAAAGTCACCAAATCTCTTTGATACTGGGATGTCAGATATTGGTCTTGATGTAGGAGAGTTTCAGATGCCACAGGAGCAGTCTGACATCCCTGCTGTAGGCCTGCAGCAATGCCCTGTGCTACGACCTCTGATATCAGAATTTTCATCTGGTCAGCAATTTCAGGCCGCTGACTGTCCTGTGGGTGGAGTTCCACCACCATGGGTGTAAAGGTGGCTTCTGTGCAGCCTTCATCCTCTTTGGAGGTGGCTCCCATTGCCTTTCTGCCGGCAACAGATTTGATTGTGGATCAACAAAAGCCTCCTTGCCGTCTGATGAAAAGGATGGCTGAAAAGATTGCTCTCTGGTGCCATCTGGCAACCCAACCTGTGAGCACAATGGAATCTGTTGCTTTCCATTGATTGGATTGTTTAACTGCTGGGCTGTTAAAGCATGAGAATTTTCAACCATTTCCTCTCTAGGGGGACTTTCCCCCCTCCTTCGCTCCGCTTCCCTCTCAGCCTTGGCAATTCTTTTGTCAAAAACTGGACATGTGCAAGCAAAGGAGGCGTTACCAAAAGATTGATTGATTCAGCCTCCAAGCAGAAGAGCAGAGTTAACCCATTCCTTGGATTCTCGACTCAGCACACTGGAGAATATCTCTTCTGAATAAAAAAAATATGTAAAGGGATCAGTAGCTAGTAGATCAATACATCCTAGCAGTCCTGCTGTAATGATGAAATGGAAGACAGATAACTCAATTCACTTCTCTCATATCCTTGTAGGAAAGGCAAGATAAGTAGAGTAAGACTTTGATTTTAATACACTGTAATCTAGGAGAGCAGTGGGATAAAAGAACTGTTTTAATTTATGCTTTGTAGGACTAGTTCAGGAGCCAATACTATTTAATCAACAATCAACTCAAGAGTCAACAATTATGCTTAGGCAAAACATAAACTAATATTTTCTAAATGACCATGAGAAATAGAGGTTCATATATTATTTTACCAAATCTTTCAGAATGATGAGGAAGGGGCAAGATAAACCAGCTTCAGTTCAGACTATAAGCATGAGAAATGGTAACCCCTCCTGCTAAACTATAAGAGCAAGAGCCTTGTTACCATATCAGCTGAATAGTCCAAGTAAGCATATTTGAGGAGATTAATAGGGGGTTCCTAGAACTGTGCCTTTCTCCTTTCCTTGAATCAATGGTAGCAAAATGTTTTCAAAAAGCTGGACACATTTTTGAAATCTTTCTGTCTGAGAAGAATAATAATCCTACTAAATGCCAAAGGACATGATTAACAGGAATCAATAGAACCTCCACTACCACTTACTCAGCAATTCTTACGTGACTAATAACATGATAATCTCTTCAATAAAGAAACAGAATTCCAGAAAGAACAACTCTTCCAATGCCTGAAGATTGGGGTAAATATCTTACAACTACATCTGGCAATAACCAGAGAAATGTAAGTTACAAAATACTGTCCTCGCTTACCTTCTTACTAATTTCATTTAAAAGTAAATATATTCAGCGTGTTTACTTCAAGGGGTCAAAAGTATTCCATTATACTGTAAAATATTATTAAAAATGAACTAGTATCAATGAAAAGTTGGTTTATCAATTGGAGGGGATTTTAAAGAAATCATGTGTTAGATTTATCGTCAGTTTTGTCTGATACCTCATATCTCTAGATCAAGTTCAGATAAATTATAATAATCTTAGTAAACAATTGTATTGATATTCAATTATTTATGAGAGAAGAACTTTATTTCAATATTCAGTGTTTTGACTGATCAGAGCTCTTCTACTGCATAGTTAACATAAAAATATCAATATTGATTCTAAGAATGGAGGGACGGTGATATTTAATGCTTGCAATGGGAGTTCTTTATTCATGCTGGGAAAGAGCCTGAAATGAAATATTTGTATTAAATTTCCACTTCAGGCTGTGGTATCTTGACATTATATAAATACAAATCCATTTCACATGACAAGATCATTTGAAAAAAATGTTATTTTATGTAATGTTAGAAATCTTGTGTGATAAAACCTGTACTTTCATTAACAATATAATGTGTTAAAACAGAATGCTCCTAAATTATCTAGAAATGTTGACTCTAGTGAAATTTTTCAGATTTAAAACTTTAAAATAAGTCAAATCTTGTCAAATAAACCAAATCCTACTGAACAAAAAATGAAAAAAAATATTTGGATTACCTGAGTCATATGCAAAATCTCTAGGTTCTTGTTTAATCATCAGAGGAGGAGGAAAACTTTGATTGATTGAATTGCCAACCATGGTATTGTGTTCATACACTGGATCATGGTACTCCTGTTTAAACCCTTGAGGTGGGAAAGGGATGTTTGGCTCAGACATCTGGCGTTGGTACATTGGACGTCCTTCCCGTGGCATGGCAGGCAAAGGAGGAAAGGAATTACAAGGTTCTGAGAGCTGACGGCGAAATCTAGGATAATAACACAGAAAATGATTATTACTCTAGTGATGATGGAGAGAGAGGTACCATGGAGAAAGAATGTATTATGGTCAGGGTGGGATGGAAGATAAACTGTCACAACAGATGGCATGGGGAAAATGATAGTAAATTTTGGAAATTAATTTTTCTCCTAGGAAAGAAACACAGATACAATTTTCTGCAGAATACAGCAAGAATCTAAGAGACAGCACAGGAAGCATCATTCTTAAGAATTAAATAAAAACAGCTGCCCCTAGAGAAGAATTTTATGGTTGGCTCTGCCATAATAAACAGTTTTATTAAGCACCAATTAAGTATGCTCTTTTTTGTTCATTTGATATTAATAAACTATTTAAAAGTAACAGAGAAATAAATGAAACAAGAAAACAATATTTCATATTACACAAGGAAAAAATAAAGTAAGTATAATATTTAGCAGAATAACTAGATTCATAGTCCAAAAATATTTCTCACCCTTTTGCTATTAAATACAAGCCAAGCCTTACCTGTTAATGCCATCCAGCATTCATGTAATTTCAATTTAGCTTATTAGATTTAACTTAAATACTTCTGCCCCCATCCCTAGCCAACCAACCATGGAATTAGGACTCAAGAACACTTTGGACAATTGTACCAAATGAATACATGCAATCAAGATGGGACAGAGTGGATATATATATATATATATATATATATATATATATATATATAGAGAGAGAGAGAGAGAGAGAGAGAGAGAGAGAGAGAGAGAGAGAGACATTTTCTTTTGGTACTCATTAAGGTAATTGGGCTTTTCACAAATAATAGAATACAATAGTATTGATTGTTTGCTTAAAAATCTTCTACCACTAACCATCTTACATGTGATTCTGAGCAGTAACAACAATTTAATAATTTATTGAAACTACAAATATACTGAGCCATGGTTCATCACATTTTGCTAATTTAATGAGTTCTTTGTTCTGTCTGGAACCTTCATATTATTCTATGTAAATAAAATGCATGTTAACATTGAAGAAAGCCCACCAAGTTCAATGGATTAACTTCCACATCTGTTCATTTTAGCAGTTGAAATTGCAGGACAACAAGCAATTTTTATTATCACAGTCTATTAGAAGGAACTAATGAGAAATATTTGTGGTTTAAAAGCCTAGAATTTACATTGTGATATTCTGACTTTAGAATGAAAATGCAAATTCAAAGACTAGTGGAACCATCACCAAATTATATGTGTAACTGTGTATATTAGCGAAATTTCATAAATAGTATGTCAGCTGTGAGCCTATACATTACTACACCATATGGGAGTGGGAAAAATATATATCATATCATATTAAAACTGAATTCTGGAGTACATTCTGATAAGGTTAGGACAGGGGTGAAATGTAAAATTTGTTACTATCGGTTCTGTGGGCATGGCTTGGTGGGGGGGTAATGTGACTGGGTGGGCGTGGCCAACTTTTTTTAAAAAAAACTTTTCAAAGCATTTTTTCTGCAAATGCAAAAAATGCTTTGAAAAGGCTCTGCCAATCAGGCAACACAGCTGGGATCGTCAGAGCCTTTTTTAACCATATCTTCCCTGGAAGAGGTTGCAGAAAAAAATGCTTTAAAAGTCTCTCGGACGATCTCAGCTGAGCCGCGCGATCATCAGAGGCTTTTTTTTAACCTTTAAAAGCATTTTTTCGGTTGAAGAAGTTGTAGAAAAAATGCTTTTAAAAGTAAAAAAAAAAAGCCTCTGATGATGTGTGGCTCAGCTGGGCATGGTGGTGGGGGGGGGGGGCACAGGGATTTTTGCTAGCGGTTGTCCAAACCACCCACCACCATCACTACCGGATTGGGAGATCCGGTCTGAACCGGGAGCATTTCACCCCTGGGTTAGAATATAACCAACTGAATAAATTAGAGTTGCTTTAACAATCATAATCAGAATTCAAATATAGCCATAACTAAATTTAAGCAAAATGTATTGGTTTAATCTATGGATGCTTTGCCTTAGGAAATTCAAATTTAAAAAGTAAGCAGGGTGATTCAGGGACGTAGCTGAAGCTTCAGTTTAGTTTTTTAGCTTTTGTGGTTTTGCTAAGCCTAAAGTTATTTGAACATAGTTTGTTTTGGCTGTTTAACTTCCTCTTCCTAAGCTAGTGCATTTCAAAATGCTCAAAGGACTAAATAAAAAACAAAAAAGCCCACACCCTTTCAATTGATACTATGCAAATTATAAGAGTAAACAGCAATATTTACATATAATTGATTTAATTAAATTCAAAACAATGAACAAAGAGTGGTTTGTAACCATCATAAAAATAACCACCTAAGTAGTATTTTTTCCAGTCAAATAAATAGTATTTATGAGTATGAAATTTATAGAAGATTGTCTACTTTGTCCAAATGCAGTAGAATGTTGTTGATTATAACATCTGTTCTATTATTGCCATTAAAATACCATCCTTAAAAAAAAACTTTCCAGATTGTCTAGTGCTAATGATTTCTCAATTGATTACTTGCAAAAAAATTGTCCTAGAGTTTTTAACTTTGTAGCCCAGTTAACAGAAAATAAAAAATACTATAATATAGACTTATGTATTAGAATTGAGCATGTTCTGAAAATATCTTGGAAGGCATCCTTCAAGCTTCTCTGCTATTCATTAAACAAGGCAATAAAATATCTTTTATTGTGCTTCTGCCTTATTCTGAAAAATATGCTGTTTTGGTTTCTTAAACCAGTAGCAACTTTTTTCCAGGCTTAAGAAGAAATTTAAAAAGCTGTTTTAATTAGATAGCACAGAAATACTCTGCTCAATTTTCTGCATAGTCTGAAGGACCTTTTTCTGAAACATTTTTAAAATGTATATAGGGTTACTATATATGCTTATAGACAACACATTGTCTCAGAATATTTTACCTTTCCATGTATTGATTGTGATTCTTGTCTCTGCATGTATGTGAATTCACTCATTCATCATTCTCAAGATTTTAAATAAAATTAACTATTGTGGATGATCCTGACATATTCAATAATAAACACAATATACAAAAGTGGCAAGACAAACCTACTTGCAATGGAAAACAAACATAGGAAGAATTGAATCTGTTACCTGTGATCCATAGGAAAGTTATTGTCTGGGATGGGATGGGATGGAGGCAAGTGAGTCGCAAAAATCCGGTCAGGTTTAGAACTCTGAATCGAGTTTGAAGATGCATGATGCAGTGGTGAAACTGGAGTGCTTGATGGAGTTGGTGGGTTAGAAGTCCTCATTCCCACTTGTGGCTTCTGATCATAGGCACTGTTTGTTAAACAAGGGGAAATATAAATGGCTTTCTTAGATAGACTGATGGAATGATTGTAAATAATCAATGGATACTGATCTCAAATTCAGTTTCTAGCATATCCCACTTAGACTTGATAACACACTCAAGACCGTATGCAATCTTATCTATATCTGATTTCCTTTATTGTTTTGGTGAGAATTCTGAGAGTTACAGTCCCAAAATATAGCTGAAGGCACATTTTAGGTAATGCTGATCCAGACAGACCAGATTTATAATTCTGAAGTTGAATTTAATTTCCCCATTTGCTCTAGATTGTTTTAGCTATGATTACATGACTGTACCATAATGGCTGAGTTCACATATCTTGTAAAGTCCTGAATTATGGTTTACAAATGCAAAAACTAAGTTCACATTATGCACTTAGGCAACACCAAATACAATGTAGCACAAAGCACAGTATTTAATCAACTTCCTCTGGCCAATAACTAATGCTAATCTTGAACAATCTTGATTCTACATTACAATCTTAATCTTGATTCCACTAGATGATCAAAGCATAAATCATTCTTTATCCAGCATTATTTCCTAACCCAGTTAGGAAGTTCTGGATATAATATGCATAACAAATACACACTGATTATTCTTTGTGCTTGTTAGATACATCTGCTATTTGTTTGGAGAGTTTATTTTTCTTACTTTTTAAGAATACGTAGAACAAAATGCTTGCACCACAATTTTTATAAAGACGGCTTTGCAGCTTTATAAAGATTTTGGATCATGCAAGCTGATTTTACAAAAAACGAACTGTTAAAGCTATAGAACATAAATAAAAATGGTTAAAATCACAATTTAAAAAAAAAATCAGAAATATTCCACAAAACAGAAGCAAAACTTTTACTAGACTGATTAAAGTTTTACAGAACAGATTCAAGTTTTTGCGTTTCAAAGAAGTTACCACAAGACAATGTTAAAAGTGATCCCCTATCCCCAAAATGTCTTATTTCAAATCATATTTTGTCAGTTTTCATGTATTTATCAAATTTCTAGGTCATCCAATTCTAACATGAATCTGGCCAGTATTAGCGAGAGAAAAAGCATCAAAGATGCAAATTGGGATTTCTCAGGTATAGAGTAAGACTGAAGGGCACGAGGAGTAATTCCAAAGCCTGATAGAAATTAGAAACAAATATATTGTCTTATCAATAAGCTAGTCTTTCACTGAATCACTTCAGAATATTAATTTAAGATGACTGGAAGATATGAGTTATACTAAATGGATAATTGGAAGTCAGAGATTGTATTGTATGTTTCTTCATTGTTTGAAGTTGGGTTCATTTTTAAGTTTCATCAATCTCTCAAGAGTTACCTCCAAAGTAAGATTTATTTTATCCTTAAGCAAGAAACATGCCAGTAAGATAACATCTTATGTTTTATTTGCAATGTTTCTATAGGTGTATGCATGGGTGTATATATAAAGAATTTGAATTTCAAAGGAAACATGACATATTTGATTGGAACAAGTGAGTAAACCTGATAAGAATCCATATTCTTGAAAGATGAAGGAAGTCCAGGAAATTTGGGGAATGGAGAAAAGAATTTCCTTTACATGAACCTAGGAGAAGGAACCTGTTATCTTCTAGATACAGCTGAACTACAATTCTCAGCATCTTTCCCTATCTATAATCACTGAGAAAGGGGTCCTGGAAAATTAGAGGGGACAGATAACCCATCCTCACTCAGGAGTCTGTTCCCATCTTAGACTTAGAAGCACTGTTAGAACATTAGAAGCATACAGTAAAACTAAAATAAAAATACAAGAGTTATGCATTTTACTATGATGCTATTCTTTTCTTCAAAAAAGTTAGTCTCTTGGTTGCAGAGCTATTTGAACTCCCAAGAGTAAATACATCACTGCAAAGCACTCTGTGGGATGAATAAAAAGGCAGACACATTATACCCATCCTAATGCATCTGGATACCACTTATGGACCTTTCTTCCAAAGGAAGCATTCCTCATGCCCACTTTGATTTCTTTTTGGCAATGGGCTTAATTTTCCCAGGTTTCCACTGTTGGAGACCACCATCATCATCAGATTGCTTTTGATACGTTTACAGAGCATGTATACCAGCTGTTATGCTCTGTTGCATTTTTACACTTTCTTTGCCACTGGAAATTATAGAGATGAAATAAAATATAAATGAAAATGAATGGAGCCACAGTTCCACCTACAATGCAGAATGTGTGAAAAAAGCAGTTCCAAGCATCTCCTTAAGGGAAGTGATAATGACCCACACTGGCTTGCAAATATGCTTTCAGATCATTGTCCACACTGACTGCACTCAGATGATTCATAATTTCACTTGTTTCACTATCATTTGAAACTGAGAAAAAGGTCACTATCTGAAAGAGGATTCAATCCCCTTTTTTGTTTGGCACTGCTCCTGTAACAGGTGCAAGTAAAGCCCCCGTTCTTGTTTCCATAAAGGCAGGAGTCCTCTTAATCATTTTTCAATGCAAAATAAATAGGAGCCTGATCATGCATAGACAGTAACTACAACGCTATGACAGACTACCAATTCCAGCAGCATAGCAGCCTGATGAGGCAGATAGTGAGAATTGATTAATAATATACAGGTATCAGCTGTCACTTAAAGTGGAAGTTGAATACGTATATAATAGTGTTCACTGGCTCTGGATTATCTTGCAATACAATGTTATTCTGATTTATTATTCTCCCCAAAAATTTCAAGACAGTCCTCTTGTCCTTTTGTTCATACACTGGAATAGATAGCTTCCAGATGTGTTGAACATCTGAACCAGGAACTATAGTTTAATCTCAACCTAAAGCCAAAGAACCAATACCAGTTTCATCACGTATGAGTCTCAATGGAAGGTTCCAGATTCCACTGCAATTATTTGCATGCAATGGAGAGTGAGCAGTTGTAATCTGATTTTTCCAGAAATGCGCAAGCATTCCTGTACACCCTGTTTAATCATGTCCACCTGATGTCAATTGTCAATGGATAGATTCACATACAGATGGTTTGTTCATCATAATATGCAAACCAGGAACTCTGATAGATAATAGAGAAGAACAAACTAGTGTTCCATCATGACAAAAAGCCATAAATTTGTTGGCTGCATTTATTGGCAAAAGCAGTCAAGGGGCAGCAAGCAGAAGCACTGAATGCCTAATTACAGAGGAATCACTATATTTCTCTTTTAAGATATGTAGGGAATTCTGGGAGTTGAAATCCACATAGTTTAACAAGGTTAAGAAACCAAGATTGAAAAACACTAAAATTGTTTTAAAATTTTATTTTTAAAAAATATAAACTAAACAAAAAATCCAAGTGTTCATGCAGCCAATACTATTTCAAACTGTAAAATTTATGAAAGAGAAACTCCTATATCTAAGGGAAATAATTAGCCTACATTTTATGGAGATTCTCAGTCATCCAAGATCATGATTGTCCCAAAGGTGCTTTTTCAAAAGGACTTTATTTACAATAATTTATTTCCCCACTTACAAACTAGTTTGATCAAATACAATTTTGCTACATCACAAGACCAGATAAACTCTTCCCAGGATCGAGAAAAAAAATATTTTAATTGTTCCATTACTATATCATCATGATGTTAATGTTTCTACTGAAAGCAAAATATACTAGTTACTTTACCTGACATTGTACAGGCACTTTTCTCCATAACTGAATTTGAATGGTTGTTCTTGACTACAAGCTGAGCTGAGTTCAGAACATGGACTGTGGGGTTCTTTCTTGATTTTCACTGAAAGACCATGAAAAGCCACTGGAAAACAACAGGAACAGAAATTAATTTCAAGCAAGTAAGAATATAAGAATGATATAATATATGTATAATACTGAAATTCGTTTAAAAAATAATGCCAGACTGCCTGAATTTTCTATACTACATGACATTCCACCTTCACCCTTATCCTAATTTATTTTAGTATTGAACAACATTCAATGCTGTATGTGCTGTGTGGCAATACCCTGGCAAAGGTTCAATTCAACATACTCTGTGACTGAGACCAAATGTAAGAAAGAATTTGGCCAGGTGGAATAGTTTATGGGTCAAGAAAATTAAAAGTTGTTCAATGCTAAAATAAATTGGATACAATGGGGAGAAAGTTTGGGGATTTTTGAGTGACCATAAAGAAAAATAAGGTTTAAAAAAAGTTTGATAAACGTCTTGCCCACCAAAGGTTACTGAAACAAGACACCCCATCTTTGTCAGTCTCATTAGGCAATAGTTAAGAATAATGAGAACTGTAGTTCAACCATCTTTGGAGGTCCTCAGACTTCCCACCCTTGCTTAAGAATAAAATATGGCAAACACTATTTAATATTTACAACTTTGACAGGAAATATAATTTAGATAAAGTCAAGGAGCTTCAGGACTAAAATTAATTATAAAAAAAGAGCAAGCTAATTACATCATCAACATCATCAACAAAGGAACCAGCAGTTAATAAATATGCCACAGACTAGCACTTGATAGAGTAACCATGAAATGTTGGAAAAGATATTCAAATGACAGGATGTGTCCATACCTACAAAGATCAGAATTGTGCAAAACATGGTGCTCTCTATGACTATGGAAGCCAAAGTCAGACTTTGGATAAAAGGACAGAAAGATATCTTTTGTTGAAGGATTTTTGACAGTTTTGAACTTTGGTATTAGACAAGATTGCAGAGAATATCATAGACAGTCAAGAAAACAAACCAAGAGGGCATTGACCAAATCAACCCAGAGGTTTCACTTGAGGAACAAGTGACCAAGGTCAGATTATCCTGTTTTGGATAAATTAAGACCTAACTCTCTGAAGAAAGAGGAGGATGATCAGTAGCAAGTAGATGAAACTCAGTTGCCGTGGCAATGACATGGTTGGAAAGACTTGAAAGGCCAGGTTAGAAACAAATTATCATGGAGAATATTTATATGGTCACCATGGATTTGATGACACATAATCAAAAATTAAACTATCAAACTTTCTTCCTGAAATCTACCAATCAGTTATTGTTCTCTCCTGATTTCCACCCCCCCACCCACAAACTCAGATCTATAATATACAAATAAAGTCTTCATACAAAGATACGATAGCTATAGGTTGGCCACATCTCCATTAATTCTAGTTTGACATCTTCCAGCATTCATACAAAGTAGGGAAGAGCCAGTCTACTTTGGGGCAGGCACAAACCACTCCATAGAAATTAGGCTACAACAGAGAAAGACTGCCTTCAGACTCTTAGCCTCAACTGAGGTAAGAATCAAAAGCAGATGATCCCTCATAGACTAAATATGAAGATGACAGATTGTACCTGAAGGAGATGGTCCCCAAACAGGAAGCCAAGCTATGTAAAGCTTCATAGATATTTACAAAAACTTTAAATTCCATACAGAAACCGATAAGCAGTCAATAGAGTGCCCACAAGATTGGAGTTATTTTGCTGCAGCAACTCTCCCTCATTAACAGACAGCAGCTGCATTTTCTACCAACTGTGGTTTCTGGGTGGTCTTCAAAGGCAATCTCAAGTTGTGTATATTACAGCAGTGTAATTAAGAGGTGATGAGGGTATGAGTCACCATCAGTGAAACAAACCTTAACTATTTGCATTTGCTTTTAATTACCTCATGCCAAAAATACTGTAGTTTTCAGTATAAGATGCTTCAAAATAGTATTTTTAGTTATAAATTAAATACATCTTCATTGAAATCCTAACTCAAAAATCATAATGAAATACCATCAGCAGCTCTGCAAGCAGCCTCTTGCTAATTTAGTTTTCTAAACTGTGGGGAAACCTTTAGTATTAATAAACTTCACAAATTTTCAACAATGCATATTAATCAAAGTTCCTTGCACAACATTCGGTACTGAGGAGCTGTCACCAATTTAGATATCTTTCAGACAAATCAGCGAGGCTAATAACCTGTTGGTGAGAAGGTATTATACTTCTCAAACATCATGGCTGAAAATTATGAATGAGAAACATTACTGTTGTAGCACCATCTCCCACTTATAAATTATCTATTTGAATTTGGTTGAACTCTTGGGAATAAAATATTAGACATGCTACACCTTTGGTCAAATTCAATATAACCCTTATTAGAAAAATGAGAACAGATACCCCCTTTAAATTCATGATCTCAAAGTTAAGACTGACTTTCAGAAATGATTACACAGTTTCAACCTCTAACAATTTCATTTGGAGATAAGCTACTATGCAACACATGAGCATGTGATATGCTATAAACTCTTCTCTGAATAAGTAAGAATTTGTAAAATAAAATATCTTGAATGTCTAATTTTGCTTGCTTTTTAAGGATTTCTGACAGACAGACAGACAGATAGGGTAGGTAGGTAGATAGGTAGATGATAGATGGTAGATAGGTAGATAGATAGATAGAGATAGATGGATGGATGGATGTAGGGTTTTTTTCTATCTATCATCCATCCATCCATCCATCCATCCATCCACCCACCCACCCACCCACCCATCTACCTACCTACCTACCTATCTACCTACCTACCTACCTATCACATTCATATAGCTGCACAACTCAACTAAATTCACCTTGAGCAGAAAAAACAGAATTTAACAAAAAAAGAAAGAAAAGAAACCATAATACATAAACTAATAAACAATAATAAAGTAATAAAATGGAAATTCAAGCAGAAAGATCATATTGCTATCCTTAGCACCCTAAAGTTGTCTCCCTTATAGGGTCACATTTATTATCAAGTAATAGACAAGCCTATTTATAATGGCAAAATAACATGAAATTTTGGGATACTGTTTCAAGGTCCTTCAGGTGACTTCAAATAATTATTCCTACTAAGCACACTTCAGTCTGTAATTACCTTTTATATTGGGCCATATAAACAAGTAGCAATGTGCTTCTTCAACATCTATTAAAGTTGCAGCTTCTCTTGAAGTGTGAAACCTCAGTAAATTGTTCCCTTCCAAATAACAATTTTGGGACATTATTCAAGAGATCAAAAGAAGATTGTTTGCTTCCAAGAGGCTTCCTACTTTAATTTCCATCCATTAAAAATTGAAAAACAAATATAAAAAGCATGAAAATTATCAGATCCACTGTTCTGCTTTCAGATTCTCCTGCAACTCAATGAAAGGTCAAGAAGCTTAATTATAGTCCCAGTCCTCAATTGTCCCTCCTCTAAAATATCTCTGCTATGTCCCGTGTATTTTATCAGGTTTTAGTATATGTTTTGCTACTGATAGTGTATTTTGACTTTGATCAACATTTTCTAATCTGGCACATTATTTTTGTTTTGAAAAAGCGGGGCTTAAAATCATCTATCCAGATGCCTTTGATTTTTAAACACTGTTCTATAGTACATCTGGAATCTATACTTTAGGCTCTTTTCCATTGTCAATTTGTTGGTTCTGGTTTCTTTCTTAACCCATAATGAGAAACTATTTTTCACAATTGCCTTTAAAATGAAAGAAACATACACACTCCCTCAGCATCTTATGTGACATATCCCTGTGTATCTCATCACTGGGATATGAAGAGACAGTAAAGCAACTAAAAAACAGTTTTTCAGCTCACTGGAACAAGGCTTTTCAAATGCATTACATTCATTTTATACAATTTGCTTTTCTTTCCTAGACAGAATTGGTGCATGTAACGGACTATTAAGTACTAAATTATTCCTTATCAAATCACCATCAACGGGAGTCATGATCAACACTAATTAAATAACTTTCTCTGAACATGATGTCTGCTAGTTCTTCTGCTACAGGATATATTTTCTTTTGCTTCTGATACAAGGATAGCAAGGTTCAAAGTGCAGAGCTAGGAGGTTACTACGCTGGAGTTTTAATGAAAAGTCCATGCCATCTTTTTTAGAGTCTTGAAATATAATGTCTGAGGCAGCAAAGTTAACTTTTTAATGTCAGGATGCAGCTCAAACCTGCTAAGATTTTTTTTTCTATATCTGGTCAACATCTATCAGTGCTCTGAGAATCAGCTGCTTGAGGGGGACCAAATATTCAATGATCAGTGCAAAAACTGGTGAGATTGGTTGAACTTTTGGTTCATGCTTTTTGTGGCTGAGGATAACAAGTTAGCTATTGTTTTCTATTGGAAACATTATTAAAAGAGGTGGGGATAGCATCTATCATCAATATAGAAACATAAGCAACACACACAAATAACCAATTTAATATATTACCCAGCTCTCTGTTTCACCCTTCCATGGAATACAGAGGCAGAAACTTTCATGAAATACTTAAAATTCCTTCTCGAGAACAATTCCAGATTGGAATTCTGAAAGATTACTCTGGCTTGGCAAAATCTCTTGACATAAAGATTTCAGTGCTCACAGAACACAAATATCAGCTATGTTTTTTCCTCTGATTCTGGTTCCTGGTCTTCCTTAATCTTACTTACAACACCTATAATAAATGGGGAGAGGGGTTAAAAAACCCCAAATCTCAAGTAAGTTTTTCTGTATTTCCACATTTCTCTTACTCAGTTTATACTTAAAAAGACAAGTGAAAACATGTGAATAGAACTTCTTAATGGTTTTGGAGGTCTAGGTGTAAATGGCACTCATTTTACATATAATGACTTATATCCGGCCACATAATATACAGTTCCAGAACACTGACTGGAAAATTTGTAGAACATACTGGAAGTTACGGACAGTATATTTAGAAGAACAGTAAGACAAGCATTAGTGTTTCTTACCAATAGCTGTGGTGTTTGTTTGTTTTAAGAAAACCTGAACTGAAAAGTAACAACAGTCCCAAAACTGA